GGGGGGGGGGGGGAAATTAGGCAACTAATTAATATTCTATTTTGTGGCTATCGACGGTTGGAGAACAGAGCCGAAACCTATACTTGCCTGGGCACACGTGCCCCAGCGAGTAAAAATAGACATTTGACTATGCCCAAGGGTCTATTATTTGCGTATACCTCTATTAAGCGGCCACCTCTATTAAGCGGCCACAAAGCTGATCCCCGAGGGTGACCGCTTAATAGAGGTTCGACTGTATATATGAACTGGGTTTTATAACTTTCTATTTACGAAAAAAATAATTTGAGGACAAATTTTACTGTTTTTTTTACAATACGAGCAATGAATGTAAAGGTCGAAGGTAAAGTTGAAGGTAAAAAGGTTTTATTTTTATTGCAGCAAGACTATCAAGTGTCATGCTTACTGCTTAAACGGTCAACACTTAACAGTTTTATCAATCTCGTTCCCCAAGCCTGCGATCCTCGGGAAGGAATCGAAGGCTCTGGGATAATCCGTTACCGGAAGCCAAGAATCCTGGCTAAGATTGAACTACGCATCCATTTCAATGGCCAATCAGATTCCTCCCTGAAACGGATTATCCCAGAGCCTCGCGTTCCTTCCCGAGGATCGCAGGCTCGGGGAACGAGATTGCAGTTTTATACGATATTGAATGGTTTTTAGAATATTGGCTACTAAAATGAAAGAATATAGTATAAATAATTTTGTGAATACGGTATAAAGAAAACACATTTTGAAAATACATCCAATAATATCTGTGTCTGTGATATCTATAGTGACTCCTGATCATCGTATAATTAGTAAATTCAATACTACAATGACATTGATATAATATAATAACATGTAAACGTAAAAAAGGTCAAATGCTCAATGTACATTTCTGTAGGTATTAATCTTTGTATACCCTACACAAAATTTGTTTTAAAAAACCATCCTTATGACAGGATTGACAACTGGTATATCTTGTGGCAGGGTAATTTGAAATGTAATTTGACATGAGACAAGTAAAACTATAAAAAGTTGACTTGCATTGCAAATTGTTACCAAACAAAACTGATCCATCTAACCATTAACTAACACAATAAACCTGCCTATCAGGCCAGGTAACTTGTTTAAAGTTTGGCTATGCTGGTCTATTTAAAATTTGGATAAAACTGTTGTTACATTGCAAATTTAAATAAGTAAAACAGCATGTCTGAGATCTCACACTTGTCTGAAACGTGACAATGACATTGTCGTTCCATGTGATGAGCAACGTATGTCACTGGAATATAATGGTTGAGTGTTTTAGTGCATTATTTCAAATAACCCAGCATAGCTGCTTTTACTATACTATACAACATAATAAATGTTTCATACTTACAATATATATTTCATACAATATTTTACATTATTCAAAAAACTGTGTCTTGTAAATACAAGTTCAGAACATATGATTGTCTAAAAATGTCTACGAATTACAACACAAACTTGTAATTAGTGCCTAGCATCTTTGTAGTACATTTCAGTTCTGATATAATAAAAATATTAACATAATTATGCAACACCAATGCACTTGACTGCATGTATATAGACTTTAGTTGGTGTTTGCCACAAAATTGAAGGAAGACTGAGATTATTTTAATAGTTACTGTAATCAGAGCAGAGATTAGCATTTGGTGGGATCTTTTGCACCAGATAACACAGTAGAAATTCTTCAATTTTGTTCATAATATGACAATAAACATTTACAATCAATGCTAAGATGACCCTTTCTGATAATATCTCTTTTGAATATATGCCCATTCGCAATGGGCCATTTCCAGAAAAATTATCACAGGATGAAAAAACATTTGATATATTTGCACTAACTTTGCAACCTGGTGCAAATGTGGCAATGGCTGCGATTGCATCAAATTTGCAAGGCTGCATGCAAATGTTTTATGAAAATACCCACTAGTTCGCTTGTACAAATGAAAGTTAGTTTGAGGCTAATTTATCTTATACACTTTCTCTCTTAAAAAAAAAATGGAATAGTGAAAATATTTTCAATTTGTTTTTTCAAATTTGAACAGAATTTGCACAACCGCAAGTTAGTGCCAATCTTTTTATATTCATGTATGGTTAATGTGTACCTATATCATTCTGTGCTTGAAGCATTGCATTTCAGAATTCTTATTGGCTGAAGATTAAGCTTCCTGATATCTTCATCTGGGACTGATCGCGCATGAACCGTGTGTGGTTTTCTTAAATTTGTCCATGGCGGTAGGCGGTTGATACATGAAGTGGTAGGGCAAAAATAGAAATTGGTCTCTACCACAAAGTTTTGTTCATATGGCACATAAAGGCCAGTTACAGTGAGACAAAGGCCCCCATTTTTTTGTTAAGCCTGGCAGCCTCCGCATCGTGGAACTTGTCCTCTTTTCTTCTCCATTCGTTCAAGGTACCACATTTGCGGACTGCCGTTGCGAGGATTATTTTCCAAAAGGTTGGTTGTAATATCCTTCCTGCTTTGCCTCTGTTGGGTTGGAGTGTTTGCTTCATTCATAGCCTTCAATTGTTCTGAAATGTTAGCTGGGGTATTAGCTGTAATATGGCGAATTTCCTCGATGGTCAGGGATACTTGTTGTAAAATTTCACTACTATCCTGAATACCACATATGAATAGTAGTGTCCATAAAATGTGCTTGCATGCCTGTTTTCCGCGATATTTAACATAATCTTGACAGTCACATGAATGCTGGCTACCAATATGAACTGTGTAATCTGTATATCTTCAAGTAGACAAGCCACATATAAGTCCAGGATTCTCTTGTCTTCTAACGTTGATTGATTTTACCTTTATCGAATTTCTTTCTTTTTTTGCTCTTCCAAGGCGATCGAGAAATACTTTACTTCTCGACGATCTGTAGCGGCTCGGTCTGTTGTTCGTTGTTCTTTCACACGAGGTCGTTACGCTAGCATTATGCTTGTCTGATGGCAAACTAAATGGCGCGGTGAGGGCAGTTGGCGATGCGGTTCTTTCGGTGCCTGTGATGTCTTCACCTGCGAGCTCCTGGCCAAGGGCATGAGCTCTTCTCACCTCGTTTGATGTTTTTTGAAGGGCATTGTCTGCTAAAGAAGGACCCGTTCCACCTCGCGAATTTTACACGCGAAAAGCTTTGTATTCGACTTCTAACTGGACGTTATCCCGAGCATCAGCGTGCGCAGCATCCAACAATGACATATTTCCGTGGTCCCGTTTAACCCAACTTGCATGAATAACTTCAGCTAGGTTCATTTTTGGGCCACCAGAAACACTAATGAAGGCAGGGAATACAAATGCTCTTCTCTTGTGCCACCAATCGAGCCAACTTGAAAGACTTCGACGTTCAGGACATTCGGCAATGAATGTTTCCAAATCTTCTTTTGCTTAGCTATAGCTTATTGGGGACGGGGCTTGCAGGAGGCAATTGCATAAACTTTAAACGTTTCTGCGGTCTTCATCACCAAGTTTTCGTGACTGACGATTACGATATTCTTTGAAGTGAAATTCGCAGGACTTAATTCGCCCGACAACATCAGTTCCGAAAACTCTCTTCAAGCCTTCAATGGTACTGCCAGCCATGTCTGTTATCCAACCACGAGGATTGAATTGGTAGTCGTTGTTGCCACTTTCCTTTTTCAAGATTTCATTGAAACATTCCCAAAACAACTGCACCGTGTCTGAATTTTCTCCATCACATTCCATTGTTGCCAATGGAATAAGTTTCTTAAGGACAGGATGATAGACACTGGCAGTTAAAGAAACCAATCCTCTACATTGTTTCACCTTTCCGTCGAAAAAACAAAACTCTTCGCTTAGCTTGTTTTCCGATGTCGCGCAGTCCATATTTAGGGCGAATTGTGCTTTTAATTTACTTGATTTGAAAACATGGGAAGGCTTGCTTGAATTTCCACGCCGGTCATTCATGGTGTACACGTAATATGGGTCTCTTTGGTCAGCGTATTGTTTAAAATGGGCTACACTTCAAAATTATGACCGTGCGGTTGATTTGAATCCTTGATCTTTTGCTTTTGGTTAGAAAGCCATTTTTTATCCATAATATTTCGTGCAGTCTCTTCGACAGAATTCCAGTCTTTCCCTGGACAAAACAGAGAAATTATCAGCGATTAATTTTTGTGATTAACTAGTAATAATTTTTGTGACGACAATTAAGTCCTCGCAGTAAAACTTTTGAACCAACTGAAAACAAATCACAGTGCAGAACCTACAGAAACTTTTAATTCAAAGTTTCGACTATTGTCGAGTCATTATCAGGAATTAATAATAATTAATTAATTAATTATAATTCCTATTTTTATACCTTGCCTCATTTGTGAAACAATCAAATTGCTTTGGATTGTTGAGGGTGTGAGCTGCGGATTTTCGGTTAACTGTCGTTTTATTTCACGTACAGGTTTCTGTACAACTGGTTTTGGTGGACATGTGTGATCACTGCGGTGATATACACGGATTGATTTTGGTAAAAAAGCGATATAACGTCGAGCCATACACGGCACATTCCTTCCTAGACGACGACACACCCGACATATGTGATTTTTGTTAAACTGTGTCCGATTTACCACTCCATATTCACGCTTCAAGTCACAATCAGGGTTGGTGCACTCGTACGAGCCAGCGCAATCAGAGTATCTTACTTTCGAAATTCCACACCCTGTGTTCCTGAGTCTTTTTTCCAATTACGTCCATCACGAACTGCTGACAATTTAGCAGATCTTGAGCTTTTAACTTCATACACTTTTCTGCCGTTGATATCATTAGGCGTGCTATCAACACTTTCAACTTTCACGTCATCCCAGAACTGGGGACCAAATTTACTCTGCTTTGCGCGCGGAAGTAGGTCATCGTCGCTTGAGTCCGTGGAATATGTATAGATGGTTCATAAACTCTATAAAACGAATAGATTATCACTTAATAATGGTGCACTACAGTATGTCATAAGTTTCTATTTAATTCCCTAATTGTTATTTCTAACCCATGACAAACTGAACAATTCATGAGATAAGTACCGAGCTTTGTACATCATGATTTAGCATTTATATTTGAATGCTGTTCTTAGGGTTTGTAATCTAAGTGAGTATATATATACATTTTAAGACCTGACCAGGAACGATTGGGAAAAATGCAGCTCAAGGTCCTCTGGTAGGAATTGAACCTACGGCCTTGCGATTCCGGTGCAGCGCTCTAACCAACTGAGCTACAGAGGCCAGCTGTTGAACTGTAACCGTAAGTTCAGGTATATATAGGTGATCGGGTGTGCGGGTTGTGATAAGGTGGAATTCAGTGATCTGGTTTCTTGCACTTCACTTGGTGGTATTAATATTTGAATGATGTTCTTAGGGTTTGTAATCCAAGTGAGTATATAATATTATATACATTTTAAGACCTGACCAGGAACGACTGCGAAAAATGCAGCACAAGGTCCTCTGGTAGGAATTGAACCTAAAAAAGTATTTTAATTTGATACCTTTTTTTTGACACTGTTGCTTGACGTCGTGTATCTTTCTCATCATCAGAGCCCTTAAGGTAAAAACATGGAAATATTTTATATGTATATATGTGAATATTTTTAGGGTTATATACTGAACACGTCAGGTCAATAAACTGTATACAGCAGTGGCATTTTGTATTTAAATGATTTCGATCGTGGTTTCGTTAATAACAATACGACCAAGTTTAATCGACGAAAACTGACAAAACTTTATTTTTTATATGAAAAGTTTTATTATATAACCTTATGAATTTTTAAACTTAATTTTGTCAAAATTCTGGCTATAAAATTTTCGGAAAAATCCGGTCCGGAAACGGAATATGGACTACGACCCAAATGCGGTTTTTACGGACCGTACGTCAACTAATATAAATCCAGGATTCTGCCAAGCCATACAATAATGTTACGTAACATATATATCTATAAACAAGATTTTTATTGTATATTTTTGTTCCTCTCGCTTTTTCAATTTTTCCTTTTAGCAAAACAGTTTTTAATTATTTTTAATTGTTAGTACCTTCTCCTGTTTCATTGTTCTGGGTTCTGGTGCTGCATTAGGCACAATGGTAATCTCATCATCTTCGCCAGATGATATCACAATTATTTCGGCTGCTTGATGATGTGTCGGTGCAGAAGATGTTGATGATGATACTGGTACCGTCAAATGTTCCCTCGTTGAAAATTTGAGCATCGTATCTGGTTCATCTGAGCTATCACCTGAAATCATTTTGGCTGCTTGATAATCATTTGGTGTAGAAGATGTTGATGGTGATAACGTCAGAGGTTCTGTCATTGAAAATTTGAGCATCCAGTCGGATTCATCTGAGCTTTCACCTGACCCAGATGGATGTACAAAATGTACGACAAAATGCATGAACACGTCAGTTGTGGTATTAAATTGTTCGCGTCAAAATCTAGTAAAAAATACCAAAATTAACCGCAAATTTCTCCCTTTTCCTTCGGTGAAATTTTTAAAACTTTGCACATTTTTTAATATCGGCACAACAAGTGCAATATCCTTTTTTCTTAAAATTAAATCGAAGGGAAAATTTTTAATATTGATTTTTGACGTTTTTCAAATTTTCTAAGAAACGTATCGATTTATTTTTTTTAAATTGAGGGGAAAAATTCATTATACAAGTATTATCTTTTATGCAAAGTTTTAAAAATTTTCACCGAAGGGAATTTTTAAAATGACCTGAAGAAGACAAATTTTAAGCTTTATTCTAAGCATGCTGTTGCCATGACAACAGATTTTTAACACAAAAGTAGCAATTTGAAATGTTCACGAGAACATTGTCAACGTGTCCAATAAATTTCGTCTTTATGTCAGGTAAAGTGAAGAAACAGGAGTCTCCTGAATACTATAGTGTAGAAAATTCAAAAAACCCTAGGGAGCCACCTTAATTATAATACATAATACATTGGTTCCAGTTAAGTCTCCGTTGAACCTGGGATGCCCCGATTTAATTATATACCATCATATGCGGTGAATATGACCAAAGAAAATGGTTTTGACACCGTGGAAAATGGGGAATATCATTAGTCGTAGCCACGCGAGGGAGCCACGATCTAGTCCTCAAAAAAGGCGGGAATTTGCATTGTTTGTTTTGAAGATTAAAATGGCATCAAACTTTTCTTTTTTTAAATCCAAGTATCTTTTCGGTATAATAAAGCATTTATATGCCTGCAGCGAGGATTCGGCGAAACCTTACTCTCAATGATGATACTTCCCTCGGACTGGGCCCTCAGGAAATATCATCATTTCGCGGGGTAATATTTCGCCGAATTCCCCCTCGTTCCGGGTAAATATATGTATCAACATTTTTAAACTAGCTAACAATCATATTTTTAAAAAGTTACCTCGTTTTTAATGGAAAGAAACTGGTTTTCTAGCATGAACGCTTCCAGCCTAGTGATCACCTCATGAACATCAACACCAAGATGAAATGCGATGCATTGATAGAAACATCGATTTTTTCTTCCCGATGGATCGTGAAGCAAAACCATGCCGAATTTTTTGGCTTCGTTTATAACGCTGGATTCGATGGTGTTCATCTGTGCAGCATAAAAACACGTTGCATTTTTATAATTAGGAGTTAATTTTCAAAAAAGGAAAAGACAATGACGTCGTTTAAAAGACCAGAAAATTAGCAAAACATACATTAAAAACTGTAAGCTATGTACCGGTATCATTCTTACTTTTAACAACGCGTATCAAAAGATGAAAAACCTGGAAAAAACCTCGAAAAACAGAGTTCAAACACGTTGTCCTTGAAAAACGAATCGATAACGAACGAAACTCAGTCCGAAGGTCAAATCCTTAAAAATCACGTGAAGTCGTGGAACAAATGCAGACCATCGCTGATTGGTCGAAGCGTAAAGAACATTGCATAAAACTGATAATCATGCATACATGCACGTTTCACATTTTCCTGCATTATTTTTTGTGTTGGGAGTAAAGTCTCTCTTTAAAATATAAACAACAACGTATAGGCTTTAATTATGAAAATAACTTCATGAATAATTATAGCTAAATCGTAAACTACACGTAAAGAATTCAGAATTTTGTATTCGGCTTCAGAAGGCAGACCGCATGTTTGACTTTTCTTTGTCTTTGTATTATATGTTTGATGTTTGACTTAGTAAAAATAAACTATACACGCTGACAATGTAATTGATAAATTTTTTTGTCGCTTTATGGCAACTCGTTTTCTATAAAGCCGCAGCTGCATGATATATGACTTCGTATAAGGATTGCTATAAAATATGCTTAGCACTGTATTAATCAACCTTGGGCTAAATTTTCAGCTAATATTTTTCAGTCCCTGTTTTAAAATTTTAAGGTTGACAGGTCTGGATTCCAGCTATAGACGAAATTTTTATCTGGGCAAGAAGAACGAAATCCTAAAATCGGCTCCAAAGTGGTGCAAATTTCTGCACGTAATACAAAAGCATACAAAATTTGCGAAATTTGCAGGCCTATATTGTGCGCATTTTACAACATTTTGCGACCAAACCGGTACTGTGCAATTTCACTAACTTTAAGATGCTCTTTCTAGCTGTAGTGATGGATTTTGTTCTTCCTGTCTGGATCAAAATTTAGTCTATAGCTGGAATCATCAATTTATCCTTAAACGTTTTCGCCCCCCGGACAAAACAGATGTCATGAAATTAGACCCGGGAATAAAAATTCTGCGACCCGCGAAAAAAACCCGCGACCCGCGAAAAATACCCGCGACCCGCGACAATTAGATTATAAATCTCTCTATTTTTATATGTATTATAACCACATTTTATAAATTTATAAGTTTTACTATGACACTACCTGTAATTCAGTTTTCAATACTGCAAGAGGTTTTAATAAACTAATAATAATAATAGTCAAAATCTTAAACAAGTTGTTGACCAACCCACTGGAGAATCAGCAATACTCGATCTTATTCTTACAAACCTGTATAATTTATATGACCGCCCTAATGTCCTTGCTCCATTAGGATCCAGTGACCATAATATTGTACACTGGCTACCATCAGTCGATAGCATTCCCAGCCACAACATCCAAGCAAAACCTGTTAAATCCTTAGTACGGCGCTATCCCAGATCAGGAATAGATGCTTTCGGAAGATGGGTTACCACACATAATTGGTTTTGTGACCTTGAACCCAACCCTACTGTTGATAGCTTGGCAACCTCGTTTACAAACCAGTTAACAGAAAGTATTGACCGAATCTTCCCACAACAGACGTCAACACGTCATCACACCGATAAACCATGGATAACACCTGCAATAAAACAGCTTATCAAATATCGACAAAAGGCGTTTCATGGTCATAATACAATCTTGTGGAAATCGTTGAAATATAAGGTCCAACACGAAATCAATGCGAGGAAAATATCGTACTACAAAACAAAGGTACAACATTTAAAGAAGGATGACTGCCGTATGTGGTGGAAAATCGTAAATAAAATGGCAGGAAAATCTGGAAAGAACTCCTTCTCGCTTGAACATGATGGAAGAACTCTGGATCAATCAGAATTAGTTAGAGCTTTGAATGTGTTCTATGTATCGGTGAATAGTGACTTTCCACCACTTAATTTAGCGACACTCCCGGCATTTCTTCCGGCCAAAGAACCTGCTCCAACAGTTCAACCATATGAAGTATCTAAAAAACTCTTAGAAATTAAACCTTTTAAAGCTCACTGCCTAGATAACGTCCCCTGTCGTATCCTGAAAGAGTTTGCCCATGAATTAGCCGAACCTGTTGCAACTATTTTCAACGAATCACTTTCATCTGGAATCGTGCCTGCAATATGGAAAGACTCAGACATCATACCAGTTCCAAAATCACAACCTCCTACCTGTGAAGGTGACACCAGACCCATCTCACTGACACCCTGCCTGGCTAAGGTTCTTGAAGATTTCGTGGTCGGGTGGATGATAACCGATATTAAAGACAAGATCGACCCCAAGCAGTTTGGATGCTTGAAAGGAACATCCACAACTTATTGTCTTTTAGACATGATCCACACTTGGTTGTGCAACTTAGAGTGTCCTGAAAAACATCTTAGACTTTGTTTCCTTGACTTCGAAAAGGCGTTTGACCGTATAGGACATAATTTACTGATATTAAAGCTGTTGGACCTGGGTGTTAGATCGTCCCTGTTGCCTTGGATTATCAACTTCCTAACTAACCGCCGTCATCGGGTCAAACTTGGAGGGAAAACGTCAGACTGGTTGCCAATGAATGCGGGTGTCCCCCAGGGAACTAAACTCGGTCCAATTCTGTTTTTAGCGATGATAAATGATCTCGATGTGAAACCACACGCAACGGATATTTGGAAATTTGTGGATGACATATCAACATCTGAAAATATCACAAAAGGCAGCAATTCAAAGTTTCAGTTCTGTATTGATACTATAAATTCTCGAGCTTCGTGCAACCTTATGAAACTTAACCCCCAAAAGTGCAAAGAACTACGCGTTTGCTTTCTGCGGGAATCACCTGATCTATCACCATTGTTGATCGACGGTCATGCGCTTGAGGTTGTGCAGTCTCATAAAGTCCTAGGTCTGGTTATCCAAAACGATCTTAAGGTGGCTCCCTACAGTTCTCTAAAATTCTAGGTATTTTGAGTATCGTTTGCTTTGAACCGAATTTATATTAGATACACTTAAGACAAGGCAATATGATCATTTCCAGGAAAGTTCAGAAGCTGTGTGCTGTCCATTTATGAACAAATTAAAACAGTGTTTGTGTTGCCATGGCAACCATGACGTGTAATCTTTTGCACTTTTATTGTCTAATTTCACAATAAATTGACAATATCTATATTTTCCTTCGGTGAATTTTTCTGAAATTTTTTTTGAAGATTTATGGTCCATAAAGGAAAAACATATCAAAATTTGAAGGGAATTTACAAATAAGTTTTCGAGATATTCGTGAATTTCGGTTACAGAAAAAGTTATTTGTAGAATTTCTTAAAATGTTGTACCACTCGTCTTGTATAACAAAAATACAAAGTTTAAAAAAATTTCACCGAAGAAAACACGAGAAAATCATCGCTAAAATCGGCGTGGCCAGCATGAAAAAAAATCGACTCGACATGAGCACGATCTGCGCATGCGTGTAAATTGTAGCGTGTGATTTATAGTGATTTCAACTTTTTGGCTTACAATACATAAGAAAACAGATATTTCTGACTTGTTTGACATGAAAATAAAATATTAATCTTGAAAATACTAATAAAAAACACTATTATAGGCATTGTATTAAATCCAGTGTTAGTTTACATTTGTTTTTGTTGTTAAAATCGGTGTGAAAACTTTCCAAAACATCGAACTACAAGTTCAACTTTTCATATAAAACAACTCATAACTGTTTTATTTGATTTAGCAGATAAAACGTGTAAATTGAATTGATTGACAGAACTTATATAAGTTTCGGGAACAGTTCACTGCTGTTCAAGAGTTAATAGAAGACAGTATCATTTCAGTTTGACAGCTCGCAAAACAAGTTGAAAATTTTGAGCAATATGAAAGACAATACTGAACGTAAATACGTAAAAACACACTAAAAGATAGGTTAAACTAGTTAATAACATACGTACTGTTCGAATTCAGAAAAAAATTAGGATTATAATGAAAAACTGGGGCTTTCTTTGTAGATAAAAACGCCAAAAAACTTCCCACGGCTTGTTTCAATATTTTTGCCGAACAGTAAACACGATTCCACGCGCAGGTCGCGAGGATGAAGTCTGATCTATATAAATCGAATTTAAACTGTACTAACTGTAGGGAGCCACCTTAAATGAAATGCACACACAGAATCAATTGTATCCAAGGCTTCTAAACGTTTATATATCATCCGCATATTACGACGAGGTGGTGTCCCTGCGGAAGACTTATTGAGTATATACTTTGCCTTAATACGATCGGTTCTGGAGTACTGTTGTGTGGTATGGCATCATGCCCTACCTTTGTACCTCGCCGATGATTTAGAGCGAGTGCTAAAACGAGCGCTGAGGATCATTTTACCGGGTTACTCTTATAGGGAAGCATTAGCACAACTTGGGTGTTCCAGATTGGATGAAAGGCTAGGACGACATTGCCTCAATACTATGAAACTCATAGAAATTGAAGGACCACTGTCAAAATATGTTCCATTGTCTAGGGCTAGTTCAAATGATTATGAACTTAGAAACTCTAACACATTGACAACAATAAAATGCCGAACAGAAAGATATCGCCGTAGCTTTTTTCCCAGTACAGTAGCTTTATATAATAGTTATAGTAAAGAAACTTAAGCGTGATACTTAATTACGATGATTTTAATGCAATTCAATAAGATTTTTAGACTTGATGCATGCAACTTAATTTTTTATATATGTAAATATATAGCGTACCAATTTTGTAAACGCACCATAATTCAATCTATTGCGAAGGTGTGTATTTTAAACCATTAATAATAATAATAATAATAAATAAATTCGAATGCTTTTCGTTTCAATGGTTCCAATCGTATTTAGATCAAAGAAAGCAAATTTGCATGCTAAATAACTGTAAATCTGATATTGAAACAATTCGTTGTGGAGTACCTCAGGGTTCAAATCTTGGACCTCTATTACTTCTGATTCAGATTCAGATATTTCACAGCACACTCCCTATAGGGCTTTTCAGTGACTGGTTACATTATGAACAGATAGATAGAATCGGACTGACGTGAAGCAGACCGAGGTAGACTTTGAGCTTACAAATGGCGCTTGAGCAGCCGCTATTAGTCCATACCACATTAATGATCTGCCTCCAGACCTATCCTATGTGCCTAACCCACCCTGTCAACTTTCCCTGTGGGAGGAAACACGGAGTACCCGGAGAAAACCCACGACTTTCGGCAGAGCGTTGACTTTTTACTCTTTTCACATGAGGACTGGTTTCGAGTCAAATTGAGAAGTTCTCACTGAGATTCAAACCTGCGGCCTTAGAGGTGAAAGGCAAGTGCGCTAACCACTTCGCCACCGAAGCCTCGAAACGACCTCCCACTGCCTAGAAACAACACGCTCTAATTTATTTGCTGATGACACAATTTTATCATGTCAAGGGCATTTATCCATAGATATTGAATACAACTTAACAAAGACCTAGTAAATGCTCAAAAATGGTTATCAGCGAATAAACTAACATTAAACAACGAAAAAACCAAATATATGATTATTGGATCTCGGCAACGATTGAAAAACTTAGATCACGTGCCAAAAATCAGTATAAACGGACATCAGATTGAACGAGTTTATAAAAAGGAAGCTTTGGGTATAGTTATAGACGATAGACTTAGCTGGAATAGGCAAAATGAAGAACAATGCAACAAGATATCAAAAAATATTAATCTTTTAAGAAAAGCCAAAGATTTTGTTGGCCTAGATACGCTCAAAATTATGTATAACGCATTAGTCGTGCCTCATTTTAACTACTGTTCAACTGTTTGGCAAAATAACAACCAAATACACTTAGACAAATTATATAAACTTCAGAAACGAGCAGCAAGAATAATAACAAATTCGGACTGTACTATAAGATCTTCGGACATTTTTCAAAAACTTAACTGGAAACCTCTTGACTTAATTTTGAAAAAGCGAGATCTCCTTATGACATTTAAAGCGATTAATGGCATGCTTCCAGAATACGTAACACAACTATTTCACACTTGTGAAAACAATGGTTACGTACTGCGCAGTAGTAATTTAAAGCTGTCCCAACCTAAACCAAAAACGAATTTCTTGAAAAATAGCTTTTCGTGCAGAGGAGCAGCGTATTGGAACAACATCCCAGTAAACTTGTTGAAAACCCTAAGAGGATCAACAAGTTTAAAATCTGTCCATCATGTATTAAATAATTACATCTTGTAAATAAGTAAATAAGTAAATAAGTATATTTTGTAAATAAGTATAATTTAGTTTATTAGTTCTTTCTTTTATAATGCATTTATTTTCCGCACGGCCCTTTGAAAATCACCTGACCTATGTGAAAGGTTAACGTGTTTAAAGATCAATAATAATAATAATAAAAAAAATCATATAATAATAATAATAATAATAATAATAAATATAAATTCGGCAGGCATTATTTCCCGCTCCTGTGAGTGTGAACG